TACCATTGAAGCCTATTATTTAGTTCATACCCACTTATCTCTCTCTTCTGAGTAAAGCACAGAACTATGAAGGGCCTAACAATCTGTCCTTTAAAGGGAAGTCACTTTTCTTAGTTGTTTCTTGCACGTGCTTTTCTGTAACACCCTTCAAAGTCACTGACTTTCAAATTTCTAGTGGGAAAACCTTTTCAAAAGGAAGGCAATTCAAATGCCAACATGCAGAAGAGAAGAACACGGGTGAGGGAGCCCGGCAGAGCCCCGGCCAAGGTAGCAAGATGCCTCCTCCCACTGTTTTCCCTACAGAGACACACAAGCAAGAAACGCAGTCAACAGTCCAGTCAAGGGCACAACATGAGACGCGAGGAGGATCTCTCTGTGCTCCTCCCATGTATGGAATCCACTCTCTCTACCGGAGATGTTCCATGAGGTCAAACGAGATGCACCTCTCAGAGACCCTGCTCTTGCAAGAACTTACAGACACAGTGATGACAGAGCAGCTGCCCAATGTTTTAGACGCTCTAGTTTGTGCCAGGAAAAAGAGGACCTCATCTGGTCAAAGGGCTTCTATTTTTCATGAACTCCAGTTTCTCACATACTGACTAAAGGAGAGGGCACTGACCCTATTTAAGTCAATCCACTTTGATCCTTTTCCTGACCCAAATCAGAAGATGGCGAACATTTCTTGACTATAAGCTGAATGAGGATGAGCAAATTACTATCTTCATGTCCCTGCTTCCTCTTTGACAAGCGGAAATAATGGCAGTGCCATCGCCTAGAGTTATTGTAAAGACTGAGATGACAGTTATCATTCATTTGTGCTTGTCGCATAGTAAGAGCCAATAAACATGAACTAGTATCACCAAAAGCATCATCATCATCATCCTGGAGTTTGGAGAGATGTGGCATTCCTTTTGTGAAGTAAGAAAACTGTGGAAAGCTGTAACAAAGACTTTAAAGTCTGAAATCAACTCTCCAAAAAGTGCTTTCGCCACAAACTGCCATGTCAATGGGTACTCAATACAATTACCCCAGATTACTCCATCCCAAGTGAGAAGGAATCTTTGCCAAGTATTCCTGGGGGAAAAAATTGTCTTGAAGTGTAAACCATGAATTGATGACCACATGGTAAAATTCTCTTAAAAATATCATTTAAAGCTTCTGCTGAGGCCAGATAGGACTACCATTTAGCACTTTGATTCAACTACTAAAGAATAAAAAGAAGGATATGTCATTCTTTAAAATCAGTTTTGTTTCAGTGCTTAATAAACTTATCAGAAATCTCTCTGATTTAAGTACGGAAGCAAATGGGTTATGGTTGGCTTACGGCTCATTCCGGGTGTAACGCAAATCACATTCAACGCACACAAGTGCACACACATACACAGTTCCATTAGGAAATGCTTTAAAAAAATTTTTTTAAAGAAAAGCAGAGTTCTATTTAAAAACAGCTGCCAACCCCCACACCAAATCCATATTCTGAGAATTTGCTTCCTTCAAACAAATTCTGATGAAAAAAAAAAAGAACCTTAAGAGGAAAGTAATTTTGAAATCCAGGCAATAGTAGGGAGAAGATATTGTTCCTTTCCATTGAAACGCATTGCCATGAGGTGGTCTAATAAAGGTCTTATTTTCTAGTTGCTCAAGTTCCCAGTGTTGCTACTTTTTTTTTTTCCATAAGCATCTGTCAACTCCTCCCCTAAGTCCTACAGCAGCACACTTGAAAAGCAAGGAGACCTACCACACAGACAAGTTGAAATCCCATTTGGAAGGACCCGACCACATCGAGCACCTCTCTGAGGGGCCTCCAAGTGCCCTGCCAACAGCAGCAGACAGGAGCACGGAGAGCAAGGTACGCCCCCCTGCACCCCCCTCCAGGCCCACTGACCTTCTGATGACCCGTGACTTCGTCCCTGCTTCTCCCCAGCTCCTCAGCAAGTTTCACGTTCTCTTCTTGCAATGCTGAAAGCTGCTGGGACTTCTGAGCTGCTGCCTGCTTGAGGGTTTCTCTGCAAGGACAGTGAGTGCAGGGTTACCATAGAAACAAGACAGGCAAGGAAACTGTGGGAGACGACCGGCTTCACAGCACTGAGGAAAATATATCTGGGTCACGTGCCTGATAGGATCTATAATAACAGGAGGCAGTGGTATCTACGTGCAGGAGAGGCTAAATGGCTTTAACCTCTCAGGAGGCGGACTGCCACCCACAATTATTACATTATTTTTTAAAACCTAATAAACACGATATCCACCCTTTCTCCACCCACACTTACCCACTTCTGAACACTCCCCATCCAAAAATCCATGCTACCATAAAATAAATGACAAATGAAATGGTCAGTCCTCTGGTCTTTAGGGCTATTTCCATTAGAAAATTATGCTCAAACCCAGTATGTTGATAAAGTGATTTACTTTGCTGCCAAGGCACTCTGTACTGACTGCACAAATCGGTAATGTGTTTTTTTTCTGGCAGAAATAAAAATCTAATGGTCCCATTTGCCGGTATGTCGGTATCTGTCAGAGTCAAGTACTGTCGTGAATCTGAGTATTTTTAGGACAACTCGAGGTGAAATGCCTAAAGGAAATGCGGTTTTCCAATTACATAACAGGTGGTTCACTTTGATTGTATTCTTTCCACAATGCTAATTTGTAATTAAAAGAATCAAATAAAAATATAGCCTGTTAACCTCTATCATGAATATCAGCATATGAAATGTGAACAAGGTAAGTATATTAAACATCTTCCCAATATTAAAATTATCCAAAATACACAAATCAAATTATTATCCTTTATATGTGGGTATTAAAAATCTTTTATTTGATCACTGGATTTTAGTTTTCTGTCATAGAGGGTTTTGATGCCACTGTGAATTTTAAGTCTGTGCTGGCTAAACTCCATTTAGGGAGCTGTCATACGTGGCTGAATCCTGAACCAAGTCATCTGGGTATGAATCCATCTGCTGATAGAGGAACACATCTATTTTTAACTTCAATTGTCTAATGTGTGGCAATGCCTGGCATCTCCAGTTTTTTGAGTTTTAGTTCTCCATCCACCTATAATATGCATATTGGGGTAAGATTTAGGGGAATAAACCTACACAAAAATTTTCCTAGCACATTAAATTAAATGAGGTGTTTCACTGAGATGTCTATTTAGCAAGTGAGGAAAAAATGGAGAAGGAATTTTAGCCTCAGGTCATACAAAAGCTAAGAGGGTTGATTCTAATTATGGATCAACACACACACACACACACACACACACTCTACAGCTCAAGTTCATCTTCTGGCAAAAGTCCATCAATTCCTGACAAATCTGAAGTTTTTACTTAGGATGAAATCATCTGAGGTCAAATCTTTTATTCCTAGGAGGTCACTGCCTTCCTCAGGGGCTGTTTGGTCTCAGCATCTTGATGGCCTGTCAATGAGAAGTATGTAATCCTACTCTGTGTCTTAAAGATGTGCATCTTGTAATGGCTTTTGGAATCCTTGGTTGCTATTAAGAGCCCACAGTAAAGAAAATTAAAATAAGGAATCAAAGAAATTTCAAAATGTCTTAAAGCAGTGATCTGTAAAAGCAACATTCAATGTGTTAAGATCTATAAAAATGTTTTCACAAATATTTATTTTCTCATTTAATCCTCAAAAGCCAAGGAAGCTAATGTTATTATTTGTATTTTAAAGATGAGAAAACTGAAGCTCAGGGAAGTGAGAGATTTTTCTCCAAAT